AACGCATTTTTAATCTCCTCAATCAGATATCGGAATACAAAGTTATGACAAAAATAATAAAGGAAGGTGCAGCTGTCTGTTTAAAACAAGAAATTCCGTTACATAATCCGTTAAAACAACAAATTCTGTTAGTTTTTCCGTTAAAACAAGAAAATCTGTTACATAACCACTTTTAATATATAGAAGATATAAGAATGATAGATGACTTGCTTTATCTTGAAAACAACCCCTATCTTTGAAATGGTTTTGTGGTATGCCCCAAGTTACTTTTTTTTCAAGAGTGGAAACATGTCTCGAAGAGAGGTTAGATGAAATAGATATGACTTCACTTAACACCATGTACAATTTATATAACAATTCTTATAGCTATACCAATTATCCAAATCGTTACCATGATAGTGTGTCTTCCTCTTATCACTACAAGTATCTGCAATTTAGGGACTATGTTGAGGCTGTTTATTACTCTTCTAACTGAGTTAATTACAATTGTGGGTCTTCGATGGTCTTGTTAGTCCTATGTCATTTCTTGATTGGCTCGATGATCTTAAAAAGTTATTTGACTTTCACAACATAAGTGACTCTCGTCGTATTTGCTTTCATACTATGTCACTTGTCGAACATAGGTGTTATTGAAATAACAACAATTGTTACACTCTTGTTTAATACCCATTCTCCAAAAACTTATTTTCTTTTTTCAAATTCATTTGGTACTCTATCTTTAATGGTTGTTGCTTATTCGTCCTCAAACTACAAAAGTGGTTGTAATGATCGCCAACCTTTAATGCGTCTAACTGATTTAGTACATTCATACAATTTCCTTCCATATTCGAATTTCTATAAAATTATGGCGCATCAGGATTTTTTCAACATTTCTGAGGGTTAAGGTCGTCAACAGGGGCGAACCCAGCACCCCGGGTGGCGGCCGCCAGTGCTGGCTCCGTTGAAGTTTACAGTCGTCGTCTGGCGCCGAGAAGTTTACAGTGGCAATCAGGTGAAAGAAGCGGAAGGAAGGAGATGAAACACAGGTTTGGCCATTTGGACTTTGGGCCCTTTTTTAAAAAAAAGTTATGGGCCTCTTGTTTTTTAAATAAAATCAAGCCCAATTATCAAATCCATTACCATTTACCCACCAAATACCAATTAATCGACAATTCCAAATGAATTCAATTTCCAAACTAGGTTCCTCCCTCTGTCGGCAATTTAATGTTTATTACTCATAGCATCATAAACATCAATTCCAGTCCAGGTAATAATTAATTAATGGCTCCCCAATTGCAAATTTTTTTTGCATTTTCACTTCAATTTATTTATCGAATAATTTATTTCGGCAGCGGAAGTGAAGAGCGGCGGGTGTCTGTGTGGAACCGGTTCGGATCGCCCACAGCAACCTAAATTGAGAGATGCACAAGTATTTACGTTCAAGGATCTGGAAATGGCTACTAATAAATTTAGTGAAGCGAAATTGATAGGGAATGGATTGGAGCATATGGAGTGGTTTACAGAGGGATCCTCAGTAATGGGAGTGTAGCAGTGATTAAGATGTTGCACTGCAAAGGCAGGCGCCAGGCGAGGAGAACGTGCTTTTCGGTTAGAGTTTTGTCACTCCATTTATTACATTTTTCTTGAAAGCTGAAGACAAAAATGATCTATTTTAAAGGTTGGGGACAAAAATGCAAAAATAAACAACGTATTTATACAGTCTTTTAAGTGATTCTTATGCTAACATAATTAAGTAATACTGTGAGACAAGAAAGTAGAAGAATAAAAAGGGGAAAAAGAATGTGGTCAATAATTTGTGATAAATGATAAATTGAGGAATTTGTGATTTGTGACGAGTGATAAATTGGTGTTGAAAATTAGAAATTGGAACTTATGATAGATTGAAGAATTGTGATTTTAGTGCATTAACATATCGACCGGAGAATTTTTAATATTATTTAATTAAATGTGAATAAACAATCTCATTATCGTGGTCGTTGACTGTCTACGGTCAATGATCAACAATCACGATTGCCCTAGCTGAGATTCATTCCTAGATCCGCCACTGGTCGTCAACAAACTCAATAAACACCATTGCTCTTTAAGATCGACTAAATTATTATGTTTATTTAAGTTTGTGTTATGAAAAGAGAGAA